ATGAGCTTGCGAAGCCCGTCGATGACACGCTAAACAATTCAGGAAAGATCCATGGGTTCGGCGGCACTGTTACCGGCACCAGTTGATTCGCGACCACGCTGGTCCTTGATTGTTGGGACAGCAGGTTGCGCGAAACTGTTTTGTGCAGGCGGAGCAGGAACGTTGATACCAGTATTTGCGTGGTCGGTGCGAACCTGTGGAGGCGCGACGTAACCCATATGAGGCTGGGCGTAGATTGGAGGAGTCGCTGGGCCAGAAGAGTTGCGCGGCGGCTTTCGACCACCGATGCGCTGAGCTCGGGGAGCTGGGAAGCAAGCATTCTTGACACGGGTCTGGAACTCTTGAGCGAAGTTGTCGTAGGGCTTCTTGTCCTCGGATGTCTTCCAGCCCATCTTGTTCTTCATGCACTCAGCCTTGCGGTGACTAATAGTGGAACCTTCAATGCGAATGCCATTGGCCTCAAAGCGACGACAGCAGTCAGAACGCGACAGGATAAGCAGAACAACGAGAAGGCTGACGTTGTCGTTGTCGAGAAGATGAGGACAGAAATCGCAGACATTGCATGCGAAGCGGCGCATGTCTTCAAGTTCCTTGGTGTCGGTGCAGTTGACGAAGCGCTCAGCCATTGAGAACGGTCTAACCATGTCCCTACAGATATGGTTCTGAAGGACATTGGCGACTGAAGATACGGAAACTGGATAGATGCTACTACGGTCAATCTTGCTTGTAGCAGATGACGAGACCGTGCCGGCGATGTAGACAATCTCGATATCGTCGAACGGGCCCCGATCGAGTTTGATGTCCTTGAGTGTCTTGCCTTCCTTTTGAGCCTCTTTGTAAGTCTCGGCGTTCTTGATACCAGCCTCGCGAGCCGCCTTGACAGCCTCACGAGGTGTGGTAAAGCCATACTCCTTGGCGAGAGCTACGGAATCTTCGTGCATCTCAAACTTGGAAAGCTTACGCTCAACATCAGGGGCGCGTATCCAATCCTCGGACCAGGGTTCTTCTGCGAGGACTTTGTAGAAGACCTTGGTAAGGGCGCGAAGCTTGATCTCAAGATCAGTCATCATACGCCGGCCGAAATACAGTTCATCGGTCTCAAAGAAGGCATTCTCGATAAAGGTCTTTCGATCCTTCTGAGTTAGCTGGCCGCGAGATGGATCATTCTTCCATTCTTGGATGATGTGCATGAACTTGGCGTGGAAGATGTCATCGAAATGTTTTGATGCAGGTATAGCATTCGCTGTACGGCACGTTAGTTCATGGTCAAGAGATATTTCCACAGTTTACACGTACAAGTCGGTGTGTGGGGTTGTTGTGGCGGCGAAGGTGAGGTAACAGCGGTCTGGCTGATCGCGGCAGGTGACATAGTGATCCAAGCGCGATATATGACCTGATATACCGAAAGAAGTAAATTGTCTACTTGTGGATCAGTATGGATGAGAAAGGAAACAGATCTCGATGGATTTCGATGGGGTTGTAAGGTGAGGTTCGTGGCCGGGTCAAAAGGTTGCGGGGTGGTTGGGTTGTCGGAGCGTGAGGGCGGTAGGCAAAAACATTCACGCTCGCGTCGCTAGCGTGCCAAGTAAATTCGGGGTGAGCATTGGAAAGACACGTGACCCACATGACTCGGCCCCAACAATCTTGGAACCTCGGGTGAACGTCATAGTTAGCGCTTCCGCTCACAACCTTCCATCAGGACATCCATTGAGTGCTTCATCTTGTCAGCTTCTCTCCTGTCAGCAATGGCTGCGACGCGTTATACGTTCCTGCACCGCATCGCTACGCGTTGGTGTGCGCCCGGGGTGCGCTTGAGTGATGAACCCCTTCCTGTCGCGTTCCTGCATTGTCATCCTCATCTCATCTGCGCTCAGTACACTCGCCTCGATCCAGATTTACATGTCATCATTGCGAAAATATTGATTTGAATATGTGTGGATTACAGTACGCTGGTCCTCTTCGCCATCTATGGAAGTTGTCGCTTCCAGCTTTGGTTGCCTTACGTGCCACATTCCTGGGAACAGCAGCAGCATATGCCGTCTAGAAAACACATCTTCTCTGGAGCGATCTCGGTTATTCTGATAGCCTGAAAGAATCATGGTTCCGTTGGATCGGAATGGTATCCTTTCCGGAAGGACACTCAGGGTATACGCGAGAACCTAGATGACAAAATTGGAGCTGAAAGCACTGGGCCTCCTTTTATCAAGCGTGCCGTTACATTGTTCAAGAGTTTGTATCCATGGTGACGCTGAGATCTGGTTTGCGCCGAATTAATGGCATTCAAAAGTCTTTCAAGGCACGGGAGACGCTACTTTGATGGGCGTTTGACAGTGAAGGAGACAGTAGCAACGAAGAGATATTTCCACAACTAGCTTTTGTTACCACGCGAAAAGTCCCTGCCTCGCAAGCAACTTCGTTCCACTTTCTACGTTAACGGCACGCCACCATCGACCCAATACAACATGAAGCTGATCAAACGTCGAGACAGGCGTCCCCAAGCCACAGCTGCGACGCCATGCCACTTGCTTGCACTACCAGCGGAGATACGCTTGCTCATATACAGCCACATAGCCCCCGATGGCTTCCTACCAAACGCGCCCTACCAGACATACATCGGGCTCATGCTCTCCTGCCCCCAAATCTACAACGAGATGACCTCCGAAGCCGTCCGCCTGGCCCCTTCCATCCTACGCACGATCCAGTTCTCCGTCAACGCAACGCCAATGAAGCTACAACCGCTCCGGCCGACGACCTTCGCCTCGCTGATGCACCTCACGATCGGAATACCACGCTGGGCAATGCTCGATCGGCCTACGATAATGGGCATTCTGCAAGCCATGGCACCAGTACTAGAGCTTCACCTGGCCAGATTGACCATCGGATTGGAAGACCTAGAGGGTGAAGACGATGTCTTGCAGATGGTTGAGACACTGAATCCGGCACAAATCGCGCGTTACATGAGCCAAGTACAGGACATGCCCGCACCCCTCTATCCTCCAAGCGATTCTGTGGCATCCGACCATTATCGCATCCGAACAACATACAGCAATATCATTGGACTCGTCACAGCAATGAATTGCCTCATAGCTCCAGGAATGTGTAATGGAAAGCATGCCCAGGCAAACCACTGGTGCCTTCGCGCTTCAGTCCTTAACCCACCATTTCCGACGACGACGTGTAACGTTCGGAAGATTGCTTTCCGCTTGAAAAGGCTCCATGATGAGAAGGTATGTGGGTGTGGTCGACTTCCCGCTCACTACCCTCATCTGGTGTATCCGTTTCGCGGGTCGAGCTATAGGTGGGAGCTGATGCTCGAAAACCCCTCGTTGGAAAAGGAGCGATGGATGGTTCACTGGAGGGATGATAAGGGTAAGTTGAGCTGGTCTCTGAAGGGAAAACCAGGGCTATATGTATGGCTGAAGTTGAAAGAGAAGCGAGAGAGCCGGTTGAAGAGGGCTGTGAAAAGCTTGTTCAGGCAGACCTAGTTGAAGGCGGGGCTATGTACGTACTCTCCAGGTTCGCAAGTGCTAAGTCTTGCAGGTAGCTCCAATATCACCATGATCATGACATGAATGCATAAATGCCATGGACTTAGGAGTCTTGATGTTACAGTGCGCGTCATGCCAAAACCACAGCTCTCACCAGATGCATTCGAAAGGTCTACGTGTAACATGCACCTACCCGACGGCTACCACATTGAGCATCTACAAACAGAATGAACATGCGTTTGTGTGACCCACTCCCAGATTGTTCCTCATTCCGCTGATAAAACCCCGTTCATAGTCCCCAACATACAGAAGACTTACCACACCCCTACCTCCGACTCTCCAAGACCACCCAACTATCTCTACAAACCAGCAGACCGAAGACTACCATGACTCTCTTCAGTACACAGATAGCTGGCATCGCTATAGGGGTCTTCTTCGCACTATCCCTCATCATGTTCGCCCTTTATTACTCGATTGATCGTCTTCGCAAGCAAAATGGCACAGCCAAAGCAACAACGCCGTCATCTCCTACTGGCTCTGGTTCCCCGATACCTCCTCCACAACATCTTATGGACAATCAGAGGCGCACCTCCAATCAATATTCACATCCTCAGCAAGAGCATTCACGTCCAAGCCTAGAGTACGGACCCGGTCCAACTTGGGTCGCGACACCCGAGCCCGAAACGTATCGTTTCAACACGATTAGAGCAGTACCAGCTACGCCAAAGACGTCCTCCGCGAGTGCCATGCGTCCTGTTACTTCGGAGTCGGACAAGCGGAGTAGTCTGCACCAGGCGGTCTTGGGTGCGGGTACAAGTCGCGGTCGGAAGAACAACAGTGATGCCACAAAGGAAGCCGTGGAGACTGCTAGAGCAAAGGATTTGGATGACGACCACGTTGCTGGCAGTAGCATTGGCAGACAGAAAACGTACACTGGAGCTTGGCCTTGAACAGTGTGGTGATGTCGGCAACGTTCTAGGGATGTGTTCAATGATGGTTTCATCGAGCAAATTGGGCTCCACATGGTATAGACTAGATTCATCGAGCCTTGATAAACACAACATACTACACATGAGGACGTGCATTGAGCGATGGGTTGAGATAGTGCGTGGATTTGTTTCATCTGAGCGGGAAGCTATTGACATCACGAGACGTATGAAGGACCGTTCCCTTTTGGTAATGCTGTTTAGACCGGTAATGAAATTCACTTACCTGAACCTGAACTATATATTCTTCGTTGGTCATCACAACACCATCGCATCACACAGGGCGCATGGGCAGGGGAAATGGCAATCAAGCATCATCCTCGTGTCTTGCAACACTCGGACTCAGCGACACCTAGTGGGGGAGAACCTTTTGTTTCATTGACTCCTGATCATCATGCCGCCGTATATAGCCGTAAAACCATGCCATAGTCGTGGCAGAAGAGACCCTTTCCCAGACACCATATTTTCAGTAAGCCGAGAAAGGAGGAAGAAGGGAGACCATCGTGTCGCGCGTGCGCATTCGTATTTACGAGCGGGCGGGGCGGTCGTTGAAGCGGCGGGGACCGCGCTCGACAATCTGTTGTTGGGAGACGGCGATGACGTTGGTGGGGATGCTGTCGAACTATCGGAAGTGTTAGTGAGATGCTTGGGGTGGTATGGTTATAGAGTAACGTACGCCCATGCTCTTGAGCAGGTCCTTGGTCTCCTGGTCGACGTCGAGCGAGCCAGACTCGCTGTTCTGGGTGAAGTCGAGAGCGGAGATCTCGGGGACGTACTGGTCCTTTCGCTCACGCTCCTCTTCTTGGAGCTTGAAGGAAATACCACGGACGGGACCACGCTGGATACGCTTCATCCTGCGAGTTGTTAGCTTGATGTTTGGTGCGAGAGAGCACGCTGCTCATAGCGTGGCTGCGGTGCGGGCGGATGAAGAGCTATCTTCTGAAGTGCCCAAGAGCCTGCGCATAGGCATTGCACAACGCTGCTCTGCGCAGGCCACTCAAGCTTCCAGAACCAGCCCCTCATTGCCATTGTCGCAGCCCCAGTGTCGGCACGTACAAGTGAGTGGTGTATCCGGCAATCTTGTTTCGGAGCCTCTTGGAGGCAATGATGGCAATCTCATCACAGATCCTCTTGTTGGTCTCGAAGTCGAGCGACAACTTGGGGTAGTAACGCTCAATGATGACCTTGGCGGACTTCTTGACGGTCTTAGTTCGGACGCGACCCATTTTGGCGACTTGTTGTGTGAGCTGGGAGAAGAGGTTGTCGTGGGAAGGGGCGGTGGCTGTCGGGTTAGTTGGATTGTCGCTGGAGAGTAGAAATGTCGGGAGGGCAGGCGCGATTATTCGCCTAATCTGTGTGGAGGACCGTGCGCAGGACTCTAGTCACAAAGGGTTTGGCGCCAACGCAGCACATGGGAGCCATCACCAACATTGCTCAGCAGATAAACAGTGTCAATCTCGTGTATCATATTGGTATCTCTCGCTCGCTATTTAAAACTGTTGGAAAAAAGACTGTTCAAAGAAATGCATCACAGATGCTTGCTACATATAGGAAAACCCGACCATCCTCCTCGCAGCCCATTTGCAACGAAACTCCACAACACCACCGCTGTGTGAATATCAATTTAAGTAAGCCCTGTGGCTTTACAGATACAGCCATCTGAGCGGTTCTTTCAGTGGCCACCCTCAGCGCCACCCTCAGCGCTGCCTCCGGAAGCACCGTGATGTGCAGGGTTGGGGAAGTAGAACGCACATACTGCGATGATGACGTACGTCATCACGCAGAGCACACCCTCCAGGTAGTTCGAGCTTCTGTCGCGGAGGAACGAGCCAACCGCCAGGACCGCCAGAACCAGGGCAACAGCGTCGAAGATGGCGAAGTTGTAGTCCATGCCGACACCAATACCCCAGCCAACCAGTACCACAAGGGGTGCGTTGAACAGGGCGGTCTGGATAGAGGCACCGAGAACATGGGCAAGGGCCATGTTGATCTGATTGTCATAGGCTTCGTCAATGGCGAGGAGGTGCTCGGCGATCTTCTCAACCAGCGGGATAAGGATAAGTCCGACGAAGGAGTCACTAACTCCTCGCTCTACTATATGCGGGATTTCGAGGACGAGGAAGATAGCGACGAGTGCAACGCAGGCCAGTGAGACGAGAAGAGCAACGATGACTTCGGTCAGGGTAAGCTTGGGCTTAGCCAATTCCTCGTGGCGGTCCTTGTCCTTGTGATCGTCTGCCTCGTAGATCTCATGGAGCAACCCATCGTGGGATACGGTCTGGTAATACAAGTAGACTAGGTAGCCAACGATGGAGATGATGGCGACACCGCGGGATATCAGTCGAGTGTTATAGGCGATATCAACAGTCTGTTCGTAATCGGGGTTTTGGAAGAGGTATGCGTAGAAGACAGCGGGAAGTACGAGCGCGGCTATAAAGATTAGCATTGGTACTTTGACGAGCCAAGAGGAGGATCGACATACTGGCAGCTACGAGCATCAAGCCACTACCGTTCTCAGAGACAGCACTATGGAACTCTTGGACGTCATGCTTGACACCACCGGCAATGAAACTGGAGCAAATTAGTGAGTGCTTGATCGAGCATCGAACAGACACTTACCAGGTACCAAGGCAGAGGAGCAGGTTGGCCAAGATAGACCCCAATATAGCAGCCTTGATAACCTGCACGTTTGAGTCGCCGTTGGAGGTTTTGAGCAAGACCATGAACAGAATAACTTCGACAACGGAACCGAATGTTGTCTCGAGAACGACAGCAAAGGCCTTGTTTGGCATCTTGCGCGAGAACTCCTGGCCAGCGAAACCGAGTAAGTTGGCTGCAGGAAGCATGGCAATGTAGTTGGTAATGAAGATCGCTAGATGCCATTCGGGCCTCGCAAAGTGCTGTTATAGTCGGTTAGTACAAGAAACATATCCTCTTGTGTGCCGCTTACCAGTGCAATTGCTACAGGTACAATGGGCCATAGGCAGTTCACTAGCATAGACATCGTGCTGCTACTCCTGCCGCTGATGACAAGGAACTTGATCGGGTTGAAACCCCTGCGGCCACTCTCGCCCTCGGGGTGAAGGCCGGGGGTCACCTTGTGTCCATTGTGGTTGTACTGTGGCAGAGACGAGCCGCGCCTGTCACGGCGATGAGAGGGAGGGACGGAGCGTGGCTTCTCGCTGGTATATCCTCGGTCGCGCGACGAGCGGTGCCTTGAGCCGTCGGGGTAGTCTCGCGAGCTTCTCGAGCGGTGCGCCATGGCTTTGGTATACGAAGATTGCCCAAGGGGTGGTTTTTAGGGTGCGCCAAGTGCAAGAGTTGAATGCACTGGCTTGGGTTTCAGGGCGGGCGAACGAGTTGCCCTGCAGCGGTTGCAGTTTGTAATGCCGTAATTGGAGAGGAGTTGATAGAGAGTAAGTGAAAAAGAAAGACAAGAGGGCCGGTGGGACTAGACATTGTAAAAGGGCCGGGCGTCATTTCGGGACGAGTAGTATACTACCTGCTTCCTTGTTTACGAGGTGCAGTTCGCAACGGGGCGGGCGCGTCCACAACACACAGCCTCGACGCTATGATCGCCAAACAACGAAAATGTCGCAGCGCGTTTACACCGTAACTCTGCAGCAGCGCGCGCCGTTCGCAGGCAATTGGTCTTCATTGGTTCTTTTTGGCACCGATTCATGGTAATTCAGTGTCTAGCTAAGCTTATCTTCAGTAGAACACGTCACCAAGCACCGCGCAACGTCCCTGGCAATGCTTGACACGCCTTGGCTGCACTACGATGCGGAGTCCAGAACAAGGTTTCAGCTCCATGCACATTGACGTGGGCCGAGACTCCACATCTCAGGTTTAGCAGCAATAAGGGGAAGGGTCTCGATCTCCGCAATGCACATGCGAGCTATTTGATGGCCACCGACACACTTCGAGCTACCAGAGGTCATTCGCATCGATGGCGCTACATGGAATACAAGCGCTGGTTCCAACGCGTTGGCTACTGACAACCGCATGAACCGTCATCGATCGCAATGTTGAGAAGGGCCGACAAGTTGCTGATGACGATTTAGAGAGGACCGAACGTCTACTGCTGTTGAAACTATGTACTTACACACATCAGTCTGCAGACATTCCATGATGCGATGGGGGAGTTGTTGTTCATCTAGACTTGATTGGTTCCTGGCGGTCCGCATCTATTGTACCTTGCATATGATGAGAGACTAGCAACAGCATGGTAACGCCGGCTGGATGCGCAACTATGCCCTCACGACTTGATCTTCCCTCTGCACATCGCAAAGCTTGACAAGGCTTCAATACATACAAAAAGCCATCATGTATTTGACATATGCTCAAGCAAAAGCAGTCACCTGGTACTGTGCACGGGACAGGCCTTATCGCGAGGCGCGTGTTAGCGGCATGGCAACAGCGACTCATCCATAAACACACAAACAACCCTCTTCCATCCCATCTCGTCTCCAAACCCATCCATCTCCGTAACTCACAACATGGTCTTCTCCTCTGGTTTTGCGCTGTGCGCAGCCATCACAAGCGCGACGGCGCTCCAGATCCCGCTTATGTCGTCCGGCAATCAAGCGCCACTCGGACATCCACATGGGACCAAACCGTTGGTCAACTCGACCGAGCTCCAAGACCTCATCAGTGGGGACAGATTGATGGCACGCGCCAAGAAGATGTACGAGATTGCGAAGCTCGGTGAAGAGGAATACAACCATCCCACCAGAGTCATCGGGAGTGCTGGTACGTTTGCGCACGTGATTTGTTGTACGCTGATGCTGATGAAGTCGCAGGCCACCTCGGAACGCTGTCTTACATCTATGAAACTATCCTTCAACTTGGCGACTACTACACAATCACCAATCAAACCTTCCCAGCTGTGTCCGGCAATGTCTTTGAGTCGCGTCTTGTCATTGGCGATGTCGTGCCGAAGTCTGCCCATCCCATGGGCTTAACGCCTCCCACAAAGGACAAAGAGCCTGTACACGGCGACCTCGTTTTTGTTGGGAATGACGGTTGTCAGGCGTCGGATTACCCAGACTCAGTAGCCGGAAACATCGCATTCATCAAACGTGGAGTCTGCCCCTTTGGTACTAAATCCGAGCATGCAGGTCGCAAAGGCGCTTCTGCTGCCATTGTCTACAACTATGAGAAAGACAGCGTTTCGGGCACCCTCGGAACGCCGTCTCCCGATCATGTAGCTACATTCGGGTTGTCCGGTGAAGAAGCTGAACCAATTTTGAAGAAGCTCGAAAAGGGAAAGCGCGTGGATGCGATCGCCTACATTGACGCTGAAGTGAACACCATTCTGACGGTCAACATCATTGCGCAGACAACGGCTGGCGATCCGGACAACTGCGTCATGCTCGGCGGCCATTCCGACAGTGTCACCGAAGGGCCTGGTATCAACGATGATGGAACAGGCACAATGTCGCTGCTCGAAATTGCTACTCAACTTACCAAGTTCAACGTTACCAACTGTGTGAGGTTTGCATGGTGGGCGGGTGAGGAGGAAGGCCTACTCGGATCCAACTACTATGTCGCCTCTCTGCCCGAGAAGGAGAACCAGAAGATCCGCCTCTTCATGGATTACGATATGATGGCTAGGTAAGCGAAATCACCGTACGCGTGGCGCATGTAATGTGACTAACTTGTACCAGCCCCAACTTCGCCTACCAAATCTACAATGCTACAAACGCGGTGAACCCGAACGGCTCCGAAGAGTTGCGGGATCTGTACATCAAGTGGTACGAGGATCAAGGTCTGAACTACACTTTCATTCCCTTTGATGGCCGCAGCGATTACGACGGCTTCATTCGCAACGGAATCCCCGGTGGTGGCATTGCTACAGGAGCCGAGGGTATCAAGACGGAGAAGGAAGTAGAGATGTTTGGGGGCAAGGCTGGGGACTGGTATGATCCTTGCTACCATCAGCTTTGCGACGATATTTCAAACCTCAACGTTACTGCGTGGGTTGTCAACACCAAGCTCATCTCGCACTCTGTCGCAACGTACGCACGATCTCTCAAAGGTTTCCCGAAGCGAGAGCTTGAGGCTTCGCTCAAGTCTACTGTGTACAGGGAGAAGACGAAGTATCAAGGCTCGAAGTTGTTCATCTAGAGTTGGTTATTTGTAGTCTGGCCTTCCCTTGTTCCAATGTAAAGCTGGGTAGTCTAGCCTGCCTTAACAGATTTATGGAGGAATGAACGTACAGTCACTGCTGATGTCAACCGCGTGAGTTCTCTGAAAAAGTCCAAGCGTGATTTCTCGCCGATTGAACACTACCAACTGCTTCACTATGTTCCGGTGCGCTCGGCTGGTCCCGAGACTGGATCTGGGATTGCATAACGATTAACACGGGGAAGTCGCGCTAAGCGAACGGGCCGCAACACTACGGGCTGCAGCTGAAGCGACTCATCGGCTGCAGGTCGCGTCTCCAATTGCATCATGGCGCCCGTCTCAATGCCTTCGGCCCTCACCTTTGAGCTGCTGGGAAAGTGCTCGGTATGTATCGTGTCAGTTTCGTGTCTTGGTCATCCCCTGACAAGCCCAGGTCACCAAAGCACGCGCGGCAACGCTGCATCTGCCTCATGGCCCTGTACCCCTCCCCATCTTCATGCCCGTTGCGACGCAGGCCTCGCTCAAAGGCCTCACGCCCGACCAACTCGAAGACCAGGGCTGCCGACTATGTCTAAACAACACATATCACCTGTACGGCCGACGTTCTGCCTCCATGCCAGCCACTGCTGACATGTGGGAGAGGCCTTAAGCCAGGACAAGCGACACTCGATGCCATAGGCGGCGCGCATAAGCTCCAGTCCTGGCCACACAATATCCTCACAGGTGCACCATGCCACAGCGTATAGGGATGGAAAGACGGAAGTGCTGACTCCTGCAGATAGTGGTGGGTGGGTCATGCCTCCAACGTGATGAACGAACGCACCATAACTGACGCCAACACCAGTTTCCAGATGGTATCGCTCCTCAAACTCGCCAAAGTCACCGAAGAAGGTGTCCGTTTCCTCAGCCCCCACGATGGGTCGCCCATGCTGCTCACACCCGAGCACTCCATCTCCCTCCAGAACTCAATCGGCTCCGACATAATCATGCAACTCGACGACGTTATCGCAACCACCTCGCCCGACCACGCGCGTATGAAGGAAGCCATGGAACGCTCGGTACGCTGGCTTGACCGCTGCATGCAAGCGCATAAGTACCCAGACCGACAGAACCTTTTCTGTATCATACAAGGTGGCCTGGACCTGGACATGCGGAAAGAATGTACCGCCGAGATGGTTGCGCGAGATACACCAGGCATCGCGATAGGAGGTCTCTCTGGCGGTGAGGAGAAGGCAGCCTATTGCGAAGTCGTGAAGACATGTACCGACCTGCTTCCTGAGAAGAAGCCGCGATATGTCATGGGCGTCGTAAGTTTTGGATGCCCTCAGCATTATTACAGCTTACTAACCAACTTAGGGATATCCGGAAGATCTGGTCGTCTCCGTCGCACTCGGCGCCGACATGTTCGACTGTGTCTGGCCAACACGAACCGCCGTAAGGTCTTCTCCCTATTCATCACAGACCCATGCTAACAATATTTAGCGATTCGGCAACGCCATCACATCCCGCGGCTCCCTCAACCTACGCAATGCCATGTACTCCGAAGACTTTAGCGCAATCGAAGAAGGTTGCCGATGCACCTGCTGCCGTCCGACATCCGATGGCGGACTGGGTATCACTCGAGCCTACATATACCACGTCACCGCGAAAGAGACTGCTGGTGCCCACCTTCTCACCATGCACAACGTCTACTACCAATTAAATTTGATGAGGGAAGCGAGGGAGGCCATCGTGCAGGATCGCTACCCACAATTTGTCAAGGACTTCTTTGGTGATCTGTACAACAGGGAAAAGGATAAGTATCCTGTATGGGCGGTCGACGCGCTGAAAAGCGTTGGTGTAGACCTGCTTGCCGAGTAGACGAGTCGAGAACGTCAGTGCTGGCCTCGATCTAAATAACTCATTCTGCCATGAATATTCGCTTGATGGACGTTCGCCAGGCTAACAGTTGATGAATGCATTAAAAGCTCTTCACAGAATTATATCGCGCGAGATCAATCCATCCTGAAATTCCAACACATCATCCGTCCACACTCCTCACAACCCATACTCCGGCGGGCTCCAAATCTTTGATGACCCAAATGCTGGGATGATCTTTCCAATCACACCACTGAACTTCTGGATGAACGGATGTGACAAAGTCCCGGTCACGGTGTTGAAGACCTTGATTCCCCATTCCGTCTGTGGGTTTGCGATTTGCGGGGCTCCGGGGATGAGTTTCTGCGCCTTGTCGACATATTCGCGTGTAATGCGTTCATAGTTGGTGAGCGCGGTGGGGATGTCATCTTGAGAGCGCGAGATCTCGCCTGCGAGAACGTATGCGCCTACGATTGCTGCACCAGTACCCTAGTATTGACATCAGTCTGAAGGTTCGATGATGAGAACGAAGGTTGAGGAGAACTTACGACACCAGAAATCGGACTGGGGCAGTACGCCGCATCACCCACCAGGGCCACACACCCTTTGTGCCAAGTATCCATCCTGACCTGTGCAATCTGCTGCATATAGAAGTCATCTGCCCTCTTCATCTCGCGTATACAACGCTCAGTCTGCCATCCGGCACCCTCGAACTCCTTCTCGAACCACGCTTGCTGTTCCTCCCTAGTGCCTTTCTTCAACAGCTTGTCAATCTCTTCGAAGCGGCTAAGATCACCATCGGTGATGGCGAGGTACGCTCGCGTGGTGCCGTATTGGTCAGGTCGTAGAAGGAACAGTCTGCCGCGCGAAGCGTTGTACCACTGTGCGTACTGTGTGTCGACGGATTCGCGTGGCATGGTGAAGAGAGCAGAGTACTGGCCGAGACGGTGCAAATAGTCGTCGTTCTTGGGTCCGTGGCCGAACACGATGCGCCGGGTTCGCGACATTTGGCCATCGGCGCCAATGACGACGTCGAATTCCGTGGGTGGGAGCTTGCCGTTTGCGAAAGTGACAAGTGCTTTGCTGCCTTTGGATTTGTCTTGTTGGACCTCTGCGGCCATTTCGCCGAAGACATATTTGATGTTTGGGTTGGAGAGTGTGAGCTCGTAGACGATGCGTGCCATGTCTCCTCGTAGAATCTCGTACTCGCTTGTTGCTATGATCAGGTCAGTTTAGGTGCTCATGTTGCTTTACTAACTCGTCGTTTTCCTCTCATCGATTACTGTACAGGGAAGCTAGGTGACATACCACTCTGTCTCTCCTCCTCTCCAGTGGCCTCAAACGTTGCGCGCCTTTCTCCATCTCGGTACACGAATTGCATGCCAACTTCTGTAGTAGTCTTCTCTTTCACCTTTTCCAGGATTCCCATCTTCTTCACGATAGGCAGAGCTGAGGAGCGAAGATCGACGGCTTGTCCACCTAATCTTGGTTCGGGTGATCGCTCTACGATGGCGATCTGGCAGGTGGGCATGAAGCGGTGCAACCAGTACGCTGTTACAGGACCGGCGATGCCGGAGCCTGATATCAGGATATTGAGAGGTTGCGTCGCGGACGGCATTTTGAAGGCAGTCTCAGCGTTCGACGAAGGCGTGGGTTTCGGGTGCATGAACTGAGGTACTGAGATTCTGCCTAGACGAAGGTGTGGAAGGTGCTGCGGGTAAATGTATACAAGACGGGGAGAGGTGCAATCTGATTATATGCGCAACGGACGTCCGTCCAACTACTCTATATACCTCACATTCCTTTTCTCTTTCGGTCCTTTGCATGCATTCCGACTCTTCAACACTGCATTCACCCAGGGTGCAGCCTACTAGAACACAGACACAATCATGAGTCGGAACTCCGTCCTTACTACTTGCAGATCGGGTTCCTGCGCGCTACGGCGAAATTCTGCCGCGACTAATGACATCACCAGATCCCCAAGACAATCGGTGGCTTTGGCGCCGCTAGTACCATCTCTCGGTCGTTCGACAATTGGATGGAGCTGAGTTTGTAGTTGTTGCGTTCGAGGCGTGCAGTTGTGCATGATGGAAAGCTTGGAAAGTCATCGGCTGCCAGGTGCCTTCCGGCGCCGTAAGGAATGCGCAACGTCTCGTACTTCTTACTCAACGCAGAATCGGAGGTTGCGAAAGTGCCGATGGTATCTTGGCGATAAGGCCTCCACACAATCATGGCAGGAAGCCTTCTTATGAAAAGCACCGTGCATCTGACATTTTACCCTACGATCGATTACTGTCCACGCCGCTGGCGAAGATATGCTCACCTTACGAGCTCTCAGAGTTGGGTGACAGTGACAGGCTCCTTTGAACAGGTGTCAGCGCAATCAGGATAGCACGCTAGCTTGCTGACTAATACACGCGGTGTTTACGCGTTGGGTATGCTTGAAGCGTGTCAGATCAATGCAACCTACCTTGGTCACACTGATGTTTCCTATGGGCAAGCTGTTGATGGACTCTCGCGAAAAGCGCGACTGATTCGCTTGACTCGGTGTCCTCTACCTAGGTTGAGAGATAATGGCGTCGGCGGAAGCCGAAACACGACATGTTCGCTCCCCTTTCGATCTGTTCGCTCTAGTAAGCCGACTCGATACAACAGAATGGGGATACAAGTGATTAACATGCCTTTAGGAACATTGGGAAAGCACCAGCCCTGCGCTGCCAGCCGACCATCATCAGCGATGGAATGAAATAGCCAGGAGGTACCGTAGTACAAGCCTCCTGCAGAGATGGGTGCGGCACGCCTTATCCGATGCCACAGCGTGATTGCATTGGCCTTAAAATTGACGCTACCCAGCCTCTGTACAAGCGGGTCCAGGACGCACTGAACGAAATTCCTGGTGCAGTATCTCTTCCTTCGCCCACCACAAAACAAATCGACGAGATATTTGCGCCGCATCAAACCATCCAAGAACACAATATCAGCAGATGGTACTCAGGGTGGAACACAGTCTGGTTAAGGACATGTTACAAGCCCTCAATGGCCCAAAGCTACGCTGAGCTCGCACGACTTTCTGGGGCTAACATCGAGGACGGCTGCGTTGAAAGTTTGAACCATGTTTTAGATGATTGTGCGCTTTATGACTTCCATGGACTGGATCAGGAAGTCCTGGATCAGCTTTTTCTTCGCATTCCCGGACTGACCGATGGTTTGGGTATAATGGACGAGTATGGAGATGGTAGTGAACTTGTTTATGGAAGTGCCATCTACCAAATCGAGAGGGAAGAGGACGGGAGTCATGTAGATGGCAACATCACAGATCAAAAGCTGTTCGATATCAGAGAAGTGGCCAACCGAGTTCAGAACTATGTGTATGTGGCAGACGAAGAAGCTATCGAGAAGAGCAGGGTGAAAATATGGTGGTTCGATGAGTTTGGAAAGATCATCTGGGACAGCTACGCTGAAATCCCATTTTCCGATTTGGATGGGCTGCGCGGTGCGATGATGGATGGGCAAGACTTTGTCGAAATTGTTGGAGAAGGCGGCAAAAGGGGCGGTCAAATTGCCCGACCATAGCCAGTTCAAGAACGGATGACAGGGCCGGCACGGCTTGGCAACGATGCTTTACCACCCATTTGTTTGAGAAGAACAAACCGATGTGGTAATTGCAAGAAGAGCATGGGTTATGCGATGCTGTCATGCGAGCACATCATCAAGCGGGGTATTGCGTGCTCGCCACCTCCGCATCTATGCAGCGAGACACAACCCGTTGCGATGGACTAGAAATAACCGGGAATAACGTCGCAGAATGTATAAAAGTCAAACAGGACTCCAAGTCGCCCAAGTCTCGTAAGTTGAAACTACTGCCAGCAACATGCCATCAGCGACGCTGCAACAGCCACCTTCCATTCCAAAGTGGGGACGGCCCAAGCAAACAACGAAGAAGCTAGACTGGGCAGAGATCAAGGTCATTGATCTATCTACGTATGACGAGCCTAATGGAAAACAAAAACTGGCTGAAGAGCTGAGAGACGCAGTGAGTTGGCAGCTAAACTGTGCGACAAACGTCCCTTCTGACAACGCCGAAGGTGCACCACACGGGCTTCTTCAGCGTTACTGGCACTGGTCTAACGCGGGAAGAGGTCGAGCGTCAATATGATATCGGTCAAGCTTATTTCGACTTGCCGTTAGAAGAGAAGGGCGACCCAAAGTACCGATGTGATTTCGCAAAGGGCAACTACTTTGGATACCGCGCTGTACGCCCCTCATATCCATGCCATTAGAAAGCAAATTACGCTTGTCTAACGCAAAGCCAAGGCCAACGAGAAGAAAATCATGGGCACCGCGGTCCTCGATAACGTTGAATCCCTCAACATACCCAAATTCATCCCTTCAAACTCCCACGAGCCATTTCCACACTTCCTCCACCCCTTTCGCCCAGAGATCGAGTCCTTCTCGCGCCGCTCTCTGGACATAGCATCCAAGATCTTCACGCTCTTCTCTTTGATCCTGGAACTACCCGAGACCTACTTCTCAGATGAACATCGCTATGACGACGCATCAGAAGATCATCTACGCTACATGATCTACCACCCACGCCCCGCTGCCGACGATGCCAAAGTTCAGAATACTTGGTCTCGCGCGCACACTGATTTCGGAAGCTTGACACTACTCTGGAGTCAAGATGTTGCAGGTCTCCAACTCAAAACTCCGGCTGGAGAGTGGAAGTACGTTCCACCTGTTCCCAACGGCATCATATGTAATGTTGGCGATACTTTGTCCTTCTGGTCTGCAGGCTACTTCAAGTCGACTATCCACAGAGTAATCAGACCACCAGAGGATCAAGCGCATATTCATCGGCTGGGGCTGTTCTACTTTGTCAGACCGGGAAATGAGGTCGATATCAAGCCTGTGGCATCACCTTTGTTGAGAAGGTTGGGGCTTGTCGGCGAAGATGACGAAGAAAGGGAGCCAGTGAGGGGTCTGGAGTATGTTAGGGAAAGAGT